GCCACGCAGCCAAGCGTTCCAGAACGGGTTCCTCAGCAACGTCCCGATCCTCGAATTCTTTCAGCGGCTGCCGCGCCTCCTCCACGCTGAAGTCCGCGGCGTCCGCCACCTTCACGAGGGCCCCCTCGAATTCAGCCTCCTCTCCCGGCCGTTCGAGGGGCAGGCCGAGGAGGTGGTACTCGTGCAGCACCTCGCTGACCCGCCGCTGCGCGGCGTCGAGGGCGCACAGCCCAACGGCCAGCATCTGCGCCCAACCGTTTTTCAAAATCGGCCAAAAGCCCGAGCCGGAATGGCAGAGCGAGAAGATACACATTCGGGTTGACACACGGGGGCGTTGGTATCTCAGGCTGTCGCCAAAGATTCGGTTGTTTTTTTTCCCCGCGGCCCCTCTGGCAGTGTACAAATTAGTCGAGAACCCCCAATTCAACACTGCTCCTGGATCTCCAGGCTGGGCGGCCCCTTGTTCGAGGCCGTATGTGTCGAACCCCTGAGATTCAGACTGCTCCGTCCTGACAATTTGCGGCAGTTGGCAGTGCCTTGCTGCGCCAGTGCGCACGCCGTTTCTGACCTAAAAGTCCGAAGTTCTGGCGCTCAGCGACCCCTGGTGAATAGGCCCCCGAGGTACTCGGCAGTCACAGCGCCTTGGACCTAGCACTTGAAAACCTTGGACCCTCGGGGCGGTCAAGAACCTCCGCACCTCACCCACAGATGGGCACCGTCCCTGCAGCACCTGCAGAGCACTGCTGCCCTGCAGGTGTCCTGGAGCTGCACGCGCAGTGCCACTTCACAGGGCCCGTGTGGCCAGGGAGGTGCAACCTATGCGCGGCGGAGGTTTACCCATATCCACCCCTTGGGGAGCCGATGTCCTGGGACCCAGGGGTGCGGTGGATGTGGAAATAGTGGGCCCTCCTTCTGGGGTCCAACCATATCAATACCCACCGCCTCCAGGTCCAGACAGATCGGCTTCTCGGGCGATGGGTGTGTATATAAAACGCCCACCTCGGAACCTCCCCTCGGGATGCGGCTTCCAACAGCCGTTGCCTTCCAGGCGCGGTGCCCATCTGAGGGGCAACGTTAGGGGGTGACCGGCTCAGGGGGGCACCATCGACCTGGGAGCAGCGATACATCGCCGACAGAGCGGTGCTATGCCCCCGATCTCGAGCCCGATGGGCGGTTGGGGGTCGATGCATCCCCCCCCAAGCCCCCTAACGCTGCCCCACCGCATCTCCGAGCCCAGAGCTCCGTCGCACATTCTTTTCTGGCTCCGCCACGAGGGCCGACTCCAGCGCGCCGCCGATCTGGCCGCCTCCGCGCGCGCGGCGCCGGCCCCAGGCGACGGCTGGCTCCTGGGGGAGCGGCGGCGCAAGGCGGGATCTGCCCTGGACCTGCGCAAGACGCCCTCCAAAGCTGAAAAAGTCCCTCCTCCTCCTCCTCCTCCTCCTCCTCCTCCTCCTCCTCCTCCTCCTCCTCCTCCTCCTCCTCCTCCTCTTCCTGCGCGGGACGCATGTGAACACAGCCGCTGAGGCCCTCGGTGGAGCACCCCTATGGGGCCACGAAACGCCGTGCTGGCTGGCGCGGGACGCATGTGAACACAGCCACTGGGTCTTTTGGTGGAGCGCCCGATGTGGCCACGAAACGCCGTACTGGGTTGCGCGGGACGTATGTGAACACAGCCACTGGGGCCCTCGGTGGAGCTCCCCATGGGGCCACGAAACGCCGTGCTGGCTGGCGCGGGACGCATGTGAACACAGCCACCAGGGCCTTCGGTGGGGATCCCTGTGGGGCCACGAAGCACCGTACTTGGCAGCGCGGGACGCATGTGAATGCAGCGGCGGGGGGCCTTCGGTGGAGTTCCCATGGGGCCACGAAGCGCCGTGCTGGTTGGCGCGGGACGCATGTGAACACAGCCACTGGGGCCTTCGGTGGGGCTCCCCATGGGGCCACGCAACGCCGTACTGGGTTGCGCGGGACGCATGTGAGCACAGCCTCTGGGGCCGTTGGTGGAGCTCCCCGTGGGGTCACGAAGCGCCGTGCTGGTTGGCGCGGGACGCATGTGAACACAGCCACTGGGGGCTTCGGTGGAGCTCCCAATGAGGCCACGAAACGCGGTACTGGGTGGCGCAGGACGCATATGATCACAGCCCCTGGGGCCTTCGGTGGAGCTCAGTATGGAACAACGAAAAGCCGTACTGGGTGTCGCGGAGCGCATGTGAACACCGCCACTGGGGCCTTCGGGGGAGCTCCCCGTGGGGCCACGAACCGCCGTACTGGGTAGCGTGGGCCGCATGTGAACACAGCCACTGGGGCCTCCAGTGGGGCTCCCGATGGGGCCACGAAACGCCGTGCTGGTTGGCGCGGGACGCATGTGAGCACAGCCACTGGGGCCTTCGGGGGAGCTCCCGATGAGGCCACGAAACGTCGTATTGGGAGCGCGGGACGCATATTAACATAGCCACTGGGGTCTCCGGTGGAGCTCCCGATGGGGCCACGCAACGCAGTACTGGGTTGCGCGGGACGCATGTGGACACAACCACTGGGGCCCTCGGTGGAGCTCCCCATGGGGCCACGAAACGCCGTGCTGGCTGGCGCGGGACGCATGTGAACACAGCCACCAGGGCCTTCGGTGGGGATCCCTGTGGGGCCACGAAGCACCGTACTTGGCAGCGCGGGACGCATGTGAACGCAGCGGCGGGGGGCCTTCGGTGGAGTTCCCATGGGGCCACGAAGCGCCGTGCTGGTTGGCGCGGGACGCATGTGAACACAGCCACTGGGGCCTTCGGTGGGGCTCCCCATGGGGCCACGCAACGCCGTACTGGGTTGCGCGGGACGCATGTGAGCACAGCCTCTGGGGCCTTCGGTGGAGCTCATTATGGAACAACGAAAAGCCGTACTGGGTGTCGCGGAGCGCATGTGAACACCGCCACTGGGGCCTTCGGGGGAGCTCCCCGTGGGGCCACGAAACGCCGTACTGGGTAGCGTGGGCCGCATGTGAACACAGCCACTGGGGCCTCCGGTGGGGCTCCCGATGGGGCCACGAAACGCCGTGCTGATTGGCGCGGGACGCATGTGAGCACAGCCACTGGGGCCTTCGGGGGAGCTCCCGATGAGGCCACGAAACGTCGTATGGGGAGCGCGGGACGCATATTAACATAGCCACTGGGGTCTTCGGTGGAGCTCCCGATGGGGCCACGCAACGCCGTACTGGGTTGCGCGGGACGCATGTGGACACAACCACTGAGGCCCTCGGTGGAGCTCCCCATGGGGCCACGAAACGCCGTGCTGGCTGGCGCGGGACGCGGGCCACGAAACGCCGTGCTGGGTATCGCTGGGCGCATATGAACACAGCCACTGGGGCCTTCGGGGGAGCTCCCGAAGGGGCCACGAAACACCGCACTGGGTATCGCGGGATGCATGTGAGCACAGCCACTGGGGGCTTCGGTGGAGCTCCCCATGGGGCCACGAAACGCCGTTCTGGGTGGCGCGGGACGCATGTGAACACAGCCACGAGGGCCTTCGGTAGAGCTCCCGATGGGGCCACGAAACGCCGTACTGGGTGGCGCGGGACGCAGATGAACGCAGCCACTGGGGCCTTCGGTGGAGCGCCCGATGGGGCCACGAAACGCCGTACTGGGTTGCGCGGGACGTATGTGAACACAGCCACTGGGCCCCTCGGTGGAGCTCCCCATGGGGCCACGAAAAGCGGTACTGGTTGTGCAGAGACACGGATAGGAGGAGGAAGAGGGGGAGCCAGGAAGGAGGAGAGGAGAGAAGAGGAGGCGGAGACACGGGGCGCAGTCTCTTCGAAACGAGGACCAAACACCACAGGATGACTGGGAAAAAGCACGACTGGAGCCACGGACCCAATTTTCCTGCGTCAGGTCTCGAACCCGATCGATCCCTCAGGGTCCTGCAGGGCCCGAAAAAGTTGGCGAAGGCGCCCACTGGTAAACAACTCCTGCGCCAAGATCTCTCAGAGTTGCCCCCGTGAGGGACCCGTCGCACCGCCTGGCCCGGGACGGAAGGGACACCCTTCGAGAACACGACGGCCCTCCGCGAGACAGAACACACGCAGAGCACCTGGGCGCACCCTGCCCAGGATGCACGAGAGAACGCCCCACGAGCACGAAGCGCATCAGGGCAGCCCCCCCAAGAGCCGGCCTCGATCCGACGCCTCGGGCCCGCAGGATCGCGCATGGACCGGCTCCCGGAGACGGGTCGAAGAGCAGCGAAGCTCCCCCAGCCGCGGGTCTGGCCCCGGGCGAGGGCCGAAGGGCAAGGGGAGGGCGGGAAGGACGGGCCGAACACAGGGGCAGGGCGCGCGGAGCGCGATGTGTGTCTCGGCACCGGGGCCGCGGAGGGCAAGGCAAGAGGATCAGGAGGACGAAGGAGGACGAAGGATGGGGAAGAGGAGGAGGAGGACGGAGGACGAAGGAGGGGCAGGGTGAGGAGTGTGAGGAAGGAGGACGAACTAGGAGGGGAAAAGGAAGGGGAGGAGGAGGAGGAGGAGGAGGAGAAGGAGCAGGAGGAGGAGGAGGAGGAGGAGGAGCGGGCGAGGAGGATGAGAAGAGAGGAGGACAAGGGGCAGCAGCAGTCTAGCAGCAGCATGGGCTGGAATACGCGGGACCATGACAGGACATTATCCAGCATGTATCGCCCGCCTGCCAACCTGCGATGCACACCCTGCCCTGCCCTGCGGTGGTGAGTGCCAACGTGAGCACACGTTGAATATTCATTCTTGTATGTTAGTGCTGTCATTGTTGACTCAAAAACCTCCTGCTCCTGCTCCTGCTCTTGCTCCTGCTCCTCCTCCTCCTCCTCCTCCTCCTCCTCCTCCTCCTCCTCCTCCTCCTCCTCCTCCTCCTCCTCCTCTGGCGCATAGCTGGCGCAATACAAACCATTGATGTTGTCGTGGCGGCAGACGAGCCTGAAGAGAAGGCTCCGTAGCAACCAGGCCCAGCTAGGTACTGCGATGACGGCAGATCCCCCACACATGCGCTTCAATGCGCAGCTCCCAGACGCAGATGCATGTGCCCCGATGGCTGGGAATGCCTTCGTCCCGTCCATCCCCGCACTTTCGGGAAAGCTGTACGCACAGCCGTGCCACCGGCGCCGGAGGCCGGGAGCGGCAGCAGGACCAGCAGGAGGCCCAGGAGCGAGAGCAGGCGGAGGAGGGAGGAGGACGAGGCTTTTCTGCGGCCGCGGCTGCCCTTGCCAGGGGGCCACTTGCGACCCCTACCCCCTGCCCCGCGCGATCTCTGAGGGGGAGGGGGGGGGGGGGCACTTTAATTCGGGAGCTCCCGAGCGAAGGGAGCCCCACCCTCCCCCTCTCAGAGATCGTGGGGGGTGGGGGCAGGGCTCGCAGGTGGCCCCCCATACTTGCAGGAGGGGCTGTGCTGGCGGGCGGCCCCCCCGAAGGGATTTGCCGAGGGGGCCGATGGGCGGAACCTCGGGTTCCAAGGGCGGCGTCGGCGCCAGCGCGGAGCCGCCGCGCCCGCGCTCTTTGCCCCGGGCGCGTGTTGGCCGCGGGGGCGAGGGGGGCGGGCGAGGCTGGGGGAGGGGGCGGCGGGCCAGGAGGGAGAGGAGGGAGGAGGAGGAGGAGGAGGACAGAGAAAGGAGGGAGGAGGGAGAGGAGGGAGGAGGAGGGAGGAGGAGGAGGAGGAGAGAGAAAAGAGGAGGGGAAATGAGGGAAGGGGAGGAGGAAAAGGAGGAAAAGGAGGAGGAGGAGGAGGAGGAGGCCTCCGAGCGGCTCTCAGGTCGTGCCTGGCATGGAGCGACAGACAGCTCAGAACCGCCTACGTACCCAGGACTCCCTCCACCGCATCAGCGCTCGCCCCTCCCAAAATGAACCTGGCGCGCCCCCCACGTGTAAGCCTGTTCTACTGGATGGGCGCATTGCTCGGCGTTGCTTGGCGTTGAGTGGCATTGGTTGGCACTGCTTGGTGTTGTTTGACGTTGCTTGGCATTGCGTGGCGTTGCTTGGCGCTGGTTGGCGTCACTTGGCACTGCTTGGACACATGACCAAGCAACCTGCGGAATGCAGCACAGTCCACCCGTGTGACAAGGATGCGCGGTAAGGATGCAAGGGCCTTGGCAGGCCGTGTTGACTACTTCGAACGGAGCTGGCCAGCTTCTGTGCGGGTTGACTGTCAGGAAACAAGGCCAGGCAACCCTTGGGGAACGGCACGGTAGGGCAACACGACCGAGACATCCCGGGGCAAACCTCACAGCCCAGCAGCAAGAGACCGCGAGCAACCCGGGGGAGCCCTGGCCGGCGCAGGTCCGCCACCCACCGGCTCTCCAGAAAACAGGAACATCGTAACCGAAGGTGGCTGGGGAGAAAACGTAGCCGGAGTCATCCGCACGCGGTGCCAAGCTTTCCCCCTCCTCCTGAATCCTCTTCCAACATTATCCCTCTCCCCCTCCTGCCGGCCCCCTCTCCTCAAATCGCATATCCCTCCTCTTCCCGTGCCTCCTTCTCCTTCTCCTCTTCCTTCTCCTCCTCCTCCTCCTCCTCGTCCTCCTCCTCCTCCTCCTCCCCATGCTCCTTCTCGTGCTCCTCTTCCTTCTCCACTGCTACTCCAACAAAGACCAACATGTACTTGGCTTGTGCCACGACTGAACCGTGGAGGTCTAAGGGATCGGGGTTGGGTTCGCGTCCAGGGTCGGACATGGCATGAGCGACATGCCGATGCTGTCCGCCTGCAGGTGCAAGGGTAAAACTATGCGACCACCGCACGCCCACTATATGAATGCCCCCAGAGGGGTGCCTCGGTGTCTGGCGGTGCACCGGGGCCCTGGGGGAACTTCATTCCGCCCCTTCCCCTGGATGAGCAGGTCTCCTGACGAGCAACCCAGCATTCTCGGTCGGGGGTCCCTCGCCTGGGAGTCTTGTCCAGGGGACCGGCTGTGCCGTGCCTCTCTTCTTGCCCTCCCTGGTTGCGCAGGTCTCCTGTGGGCCCCCCTCAGCCTCCCCGGCTGGGGCCTCCCCCTCTGGGAGTCGTGACCGGGGAGGGTTCTCCACCCACCTCCAAGGTGTGAGCGGGCCGCATGTTGGCGGGCCGCGGGGTGTTTGGGGCGCGCGGCATTGACGCGCGTTTCCGCTGGCATGAATGAATGAAACGCCCACTATATGAATACCATATGAACAGTATGTGGCTCCGCCGCTGTGCCCAAGGCACGTGGTAGGGTGCCCCATGACTCGCAGAGATGGTGCAGCTGCGTGCTGGACGGCTGCAGACATCTCTTCCCAAGAAGTAAATGCACGTTTTGGCAGTAGTACTCTCTTTGCTGAATGCTTAGGTTAATCTCTCAGATTCCGACTGGTCTCCGCCAGTCGCAGCCTGGTCGCCGACTCGTGTGCTGGCCGGGTTCGATCGATTTTCGAATGGCAGTTGCCCGCCGGGACAGCATTACTACTAGACCACGATTACGTACGCACGTATCTGCGACTACTCGTGCTCTACTACGACTATTGCTACTACTACTACTACTACTACTACTACTACTACTACTACTACTACTACTACTACTACTACTACTACTACTACTACTACTGCTACGCTGCTACTACTACTGACTACTGCTACTACTACTACTACTACTACTACTACTACGACTACTACTACTACTACTACTACTACTACTACTACTGCTACTACTACTACACTACTACTACTACTACTAGCTACTACTACGCTACTACTACTACTACTACTACTACTACTACTACTGCTGCTGCTGCTGCTACTACTACTAACTACTACTACTACTACTACTACTACTACTACTACTAACTACACTACTACTACTACTACTACTACTACTACTACTACTACTACTACTACTACTACTACTACTACTACTACTACTACTCCTACTACTAGTCCTACTACTACTACTACTACTACCACTACTACGACGACTACTGCGACTACGACTGCTGCGGCTACGACTACTACTACAAGTCCGACGACGAGCACGACGACGACTCAGACGACGACAACAACGACAACGACGTCTACTACTATTACTACTACGAGTAGCACTACAACTACTACAAATATCAC